TCCCATTCCTTGTGATTCTTTTTTTTTCAATCTAGAGGCTGTAGCCTTGTAAAATTTAAAACTTTCATTCAACAATATGTTCTTATTCTGCTGAAAAGCAAAGCAAATTTTTATCTTATTGAGGGAGGAAGGAAGGAAGGAAAGATAAATCAGACCTTGGGCTCTAGAATGTAAGACTTTGCTGGTCTTGCAAAATATATAATTAGTATGCTCACAAACAAAAAGAAGTACATTTAGGTAAAAAGTTAGCTTCAGAGGTGAAATGATGGCTCATTAGGTTAGCTGTCATAGCCTGTATGTTACACTGTCTGACTGAAATGTCATCCGTCTTCCAGGGTCTGAGCTTCAAGAGCTGCAGAAAATGATTGACAGCCTCCAGAACCCCCAAGACCCTACCCAGGTGTCCCAGGCACTCCTCCTTCGAAGGGAGGTTGTATTTTTGCAGTTTGATGCTGCAGTGAGGCACCTCATCCGGTAAGGGCTGGAGCGTGAATCCTGTCCAGTTAATTGTGTAGGGCATGTGCTTCGACCATCGAGGGAGGTCACTCTTGGCAAGACTGAATAACGAGCTTAAAATAGTCACGGGCACAACCTGATCCAGAACACTGTGACTACCAAATGTGTCTTGCTGCAAAGCCTGTCTGTGTAGAATGTGTTCTTTTCGGATTATGATAGTCTTGATTTTATTAAATGTGATTTAAATATAGTTAGTTTGCATAACAATTGCTGCTTTTACTGTTCAGGTTGTTTAATTGGGAATAATATTTTTTATACTTCGGAAGATGATTCTAAGAGTTTTGTTTATTCTTTTTAGCCCTTAATTACCTTTCAAAAGAACAGAATTTTCACTGCACTTGTGAAGCCCCTGGAATTGGCTACCTGAGTTAAATTTATAAATTCAAATAAATAAATTGTAGCTATTAAGTACTCTGCATACAAAAAACAAAGTCTCTTTAGTTAATTAGTCATGACTGATGAGAAAATTAGTTTGGATTGAGAGTCATACTGTTTCTAGGATAAATAGTAAGTTTTTTATGGGAAGGGAAGAGGTCAGGCCTGAGCATCTCTGCTTATTCTTAAATTGTCAAAATCAATTAACTTCCTTTGATTAATTCCCAGTGTAAGCATTTAGCCAATCAGGGGGACCTCAGGAGGCTACGCTCTTACCTGTGGATTGTAATTGCTTTCCACCATTATTAGCATGGGCATCCATAGAGAATGGAAATGTAGGGATTGAACTGAACTCTATTTTCTCTTTCTATTCTGCATTTTCTTTACTCTGAGTATCCGGGGTCTCTGGATTCAAATTAATTCAGCAGAACAACGACAACAACAAAAAAATAGACTAGTTCAGTTTCTTTTTATTGACAGCTTTCTGAGCTATAGCTTTAGTCAAGTGGGTAGGATATAAGACCCTAATTGTCAGTAGGGCCATTCATTAGCCCTCTGACTCTGAAACCCCAAGTCAGAATTTGTGAAGAATTTACACAGGATGAAGAAATAGAACTATACCCTGGAAGTTCTTTTCAGATTCCAGCTATGCAGGGTTCCACTTGCTACTGTTCTCCCAGGGGAACTAGTCTGCTTCCTCTAGGAATTGCTTTGAGGGGCTTTCTTTGTCTGGGCACACTCAGTCTGCAGGAATGGAGGGCACTGTGTCCTATGTCTGGTTTCAGTAGATTCAGTATATCTTTCAAAAGACTTTAGAGGGAACTGCTCAGGACGGTAGATCTCCATGAGTCCCTCATTTATCGCATTTCCTCTAGCCTTTTCATTCAGGGCTCTTCAGAGTGTGTATGTGTTTGGAGTCACACAGTTAGTAAGTGACAGACTAGAACTAGAACCTACATGCATTTGACTCCCAAGCCTGAGAACTAGGATGGATGCCAGACAGCAGGGTGGAGAGAAAAATAGACTCTGGAGAGAAGGCAGGAAACAGGAGAGAAAGAGAAATGAAAAGATAAATGTCATCCCACTTGATGATTCTAGTTGCTGATTCTATTGCTAAACCTGCAAACAAGGAAAAGTCCTCAGATAATCAAGAGACAGGAAGCATGGCAGAGTTCTCTCACACTTCCCCAAAGTTCACCAACTCTGAGCAAATCTGACTATTGACCCCAGGGAACTTTTTGCTTATGTTAACTGAAGGCTTCTCCAGAATTTGAAAAGGAAGAACTGAACTTTCACCTGGAATGAGAGTAGCATGCTTCTATTTACTGCGGGGAAGTGAGGAAGGAGGTATCTCAAGGACATCAAGATAGTGGCCCTGTGATCACCTAATATCTGGCTCCTGCTAATATGTGGCATAGATCAGATCTGGTAGCAGGATAGATGCACATTTCTTATTTATTTTATTTATTTATTTAATTTAAATTCAATTAATTAACATATAATGTATTATTTGTTTCAGCGGTACAGGTCTGTGATTCATCAGTCTTATATAATACCCAGTGCTCATTAAATCATGTGCCCTCCTTAATGCCCAGCACCCAGTTACTCCATTCCCCCCACCCACTTCCCTCCAGCAACCCTCAGTTTGTTTCCTGAGATTAAGAGTCTCTTATG